GTAATCAATTAATCATTTGATGTTTTGTGTTTCTTAATGTTTTCTTAATTTGAATCAAAAAATTGATTAATGTTTATAATTAATAATTCAAAATTTTTCTTATTCATAATGTACAGTAAATTTATTTTCCCAAATCAATTTCTATGATAATCAATCAATCAATTATTTATTCATACAAATAAAAAAGAATCAAATTACAACTTTTATTTATGTCGTGGAAAAATTATTATTCATGGGAATCGGAAAATTAAAACAAACCATCAACAGAACTTATTGGAAGGAAATGGAAAATTAAACAAATCTTGTTGATGAAACTCGGATTATGGACAGGATGGAATTGAAATCGAATAAATAATGAACATAAAACAGAACTATGGATATGGGTTAAAATAATATCAAAACATTTGTCGTGAAGAAATTAAAAAATTGACGGGAATTGGAAATCAAAACAAATCATCAGCAAACTTATTGGAAGGAAATCGAATATCGAAAATAAACAAATCTTGTTGATGAACTATTGGACTATGGACAAATATGGAATTGAAATTGATAACAAAACAATTTGGTAGATAAAGACAGGATGCCGAATAATATCGAAAAGAAAACATCGATGGCGGTAATCGGCAGTCTAAACATTGGATGGATGTTTTGATCGGATGGAACTGGAAATATTTGATGGAAAAACATATATAAACTCCATCAAACATGGCAAACGGTGTTCGGATTCTAGTCGGTTGGAAACCAAGATTGGTAATTGGTTATTGGTCGGTCATTGGTTAAATCATCGGTGGAAAACTGACGGAATTCGAACCACAGGTGGAAATCGGTGGAACCAACAGTGATTGGTTATTTGGTTATTGTATTTAATTGGTGTTTATTAATTGGTGATTATTATTTGTATTGTGATTGGTTTGGTGATGTTTAAATTGTGAAAATAAAGATAATATTAATAAAGTGAACATTTTAATTGGTGCGAAAAACGATTTGATTTTGATATTTATTTATTTATTTTGTTTTGTTAACGACGATTGATGGTGGTTGGTGATATAATGATTGATTTGATGTGTTCAACCAGCAAATTCATAGCGATTCGAACATTTTCCTATAATGAAAAATGAATTTTATTCAATTTTTTTAAATAAAAAAAAAATATATTATACAAACCTGTCTACCAATGATGAAAAATTGACACGGATTGCAATAAGGTTTTGGCGATACAATCCGTACATCGGTAGACCACTGGATCATAATAATTTTCATTGCATGGTTGGCAAGAATAGATGGAACCAATTCCGATCGCACTGGTAAACGATAACAAATCTCATCAGGATTGGGTGAAATTAAATCTCGAAATCGTTGCAAAAAATAGATTCCGGTAGTAATGATCAAAATAATGGAATAGACGATACGGATGGCATTTCGTGAAATGATCAAGAACGATTGTCTTGAACATTGTGATGGTCGTCGGAAATTATTTGTCATCCGTTCATTCAAATGATATTGCGGAGAAATGATTTCGGTTC